GACATAGTGTGTGCATTATGGACACAAAGGCGATCGTAGCAACGACGTGCACGAGCCGAAGCAGGACGAACGAGGGCATCTGCGCTTGCAACAGCTGCGTCGCGTATGATTGTGCGGCAGATGTTGCCGACCGCATCGATGATGCGCTGTGCACGAACAACAACAACACCAGACGCAACGGCTCGGACGAGAGCGAGCGATGTTGGTACCGCTTCAGCCGCTTTCCAATCGACTGTAGCTGCTCGCGAACGAACACGTGCACGAAGACGTCGATCGATCTCGGAGAGCTCATGGACGACGACGGCATATAGCACGAACAGCGTCAACAGCAAAGACCAGTCAGTCTCTATTGGGAAAATAAAAAACTGCACAAATGCTGGGCATACACAAAGCTGCAGCCCTCCTTCGAGACTCGACATTGCTCTCTACTGCAGCGCCATCACAAGGGTAGAAGCAACGCAATAGAAGACAAGTGAGAGGGCGTGGGCGCCCGAGGCCTCGTTGGAACCGGCAGACTTCGGCGGCGCAATTGTTCGTTCGAGGGAATCCGATCCAGAGTCGCTGGCACTTGGGATCTCGACGGATCCGCTGCCCGAGTCCGACTCGTTGCCCGTCTTTCCTGTGAGAAAGCTGGCAATGAGCTTTCCGAAGTTGATGTCCACGCCCTCGATCGTCACGTTGCACTGGGTCTCCGTGTTGGCCACCTGGTTGATCTGGTTCAAGTAGTCGGCGCAGTCCACGTTCTGGGACAGCTCTGTGACCTGCTCCAGCGTGGGAAACTCACTGACCGAGAAAATGTCAATGCCTGTGGCGTTCTTGCAACTCGCGAGGCCTTTGGTCGCGTTCGAGTAGAGTTTGCCCTCGATCCCGGCCATGTCGCAGTCGGCAGCGACAGAGTGAGCGATAGCAACGGCAAGAGTAGCAGTGGACAAGAAGGCGGTCTTCATATTTGAGAGGCTCGAAAGGGGTACTAGTGGAGTGCACGACGCAAGTAAAGTTGGAGAGTGAGAAGAGCACAAGTTGTTGTTGTTGTTGCTGCTGCTGCTATCTTACCCACAGCAAAGGAGGGACGCCGACGAGTCTTAGCAGCCATCTGGCGCGTGTGCTCATAAAGGCATGGGCCGTTTCAGGACGACAGCTCGTCTCGCGGTGCAGTAACCGTAAACTCTCTACGGTCGAACGAGAGCTGGTGCCAGTCGTTCGTTTATCGTTGACGCTGCGTGTTGGTGATACAGAGTCGAGTGGCTGCTTTGGCCTCTGTACGTGCACTTGCTCCTCTGTCAATAGCACAGTCACGATGAACGCTTTTCGAGGTCTCGAGAGAAAGAGATAAGCGCCAGGGACGTGGTGGAAAAAGAGCTGATGAAGTTTGGCACGTTCTGTTGCTGACACAAAGTCACAGGACTTTATGCGGTCGCCTCTGGACGGACGCAAGACCCTCTTGTAGTGAGAGAGAGAAACCAGGAAGTCGGATGGCTGAAAGGAACAGACAGTGTTCGACGCTTTCGATCACGTCTCTCGAGACAAAGAACTCGAGCCGCTCTCGATGCCGTACGACCTACCGACTCGTTCTGGCCCAGCGAGAGAGTGAACGGCCGCGACATGTCGTCCGAGGGGCCGATAACGAGTCGAAACAAATCGTTTCGTCTCGCTCGCTCGCGTGCGTGCGTGGGGTTGACACTTTACGTGGAAACGGCGCAACGTATCGCGCGAAAAAATCCGTTTCCTCTGTCTACCGAGTGACAGAACGACCCAAAGAACGATCGATCGATCGATCGATCAAAAGATCGACAAAGAGGCCGCAAAAGCTGATGCGCTGTTCGCACGTTGCGTCTAATGTAACGGACCGCCCGTTCTGTCGGTCACCCGTGCGCCAAGCGGCTTCTTGACTTGTTGCTCAGCGGTGGACCTCTGTTCGCCCCACGCTCGAATCGGCGTCGACGGTCGACAGAGAGAGGGGGCCAGACACCCAAAGACCGACCGACTGACCGATTGACCGATCGACTGACTTATTGACCGTCCGATCGACTGACTTATTGACCGTCCGATCGACTGACTTATTGACCGTCCGAGTGACTGATTTATTGACCGCTCGCTTGCTCGCAAGTGCCCTGAGATTCCGTCCAGCGCGAGTAATCGACAGGCGGTATTACACACGGCCCATTGCATCCACTTCAACTGCACGACCGTCTGAACGTCTGATCGACTGACCGTCTGATCGGCTGGTAAACGCTCCATCGTGACCGACTCTCTCTCTCTCTCTCTCGTTGTCTCTCCCTGACGCTCTTCACTTTGCAATCGAAACCCGTCGCGAACGACCACTTTACCACTCGTCTTCTTCGCTCGACTTCGCTCTATTTCTCTCTCTCTCTCTCTCTCTCTCTTTCGAAGCTTCTGCCATGCAGACCCCAACCTGTTCCGTCCTCACTGCAATTGCTGCTACGGTTGCACTTGCCACTGTCTCTGCCGTAGACCCGTGCGACATGGGCGCCATCCAGAGCCAATTGCTCCCCAACGGTACCACGTGGCACCGCAGCTGCGCGGCCGCTACTGGCGTCGACGTGTTCGCTATGGGCCAATTCCCCACGACCGCCTCGGCCAAGAACATGACACAGTCGCGCGACTGTGTCAACTATCTGAATCAGCTCAACCAGAAGGCCAATGCACTGATTCAGTGCGAGACGCACGTGGGGAATCAGACGATCGTTCTGGCGGAGCTCCTCACGGATCTGCTCATGGGCAAGTCGAGCAATAAGACCGACACGAAAGAACGGACTGCAGCGGACGCGGACAATATGTCCGGCAGCGCTTCGCTTGCGGCGGAGGAGGAGCCGACGGTCGCGCCCGCCACAGAGAGCCCCAGCGCCGCTTCGGGCTCGAAAGACGCGGTAACGGACCAGGACGAGCCGAACAGAGGCGCCGAGCGGGGCACGAGCAGTGCGGGCGTGACATTGACGGCCTCACTCGCTGCTGTGGCTGCAGTGGCCGTCACGGTACTCGCGAGTACGCTCTAGACCACTGCGGACGTTGGACGTCGGTCCAATGCGACAAGTGCAACAGTTCTAGTGCTACTGGTGCTAGTGGTGCTACATCCTGAGTGTAATAGATTCATGAGCAAGTGATTTGACGCAGTTTGCTCTCTTTGACACACTGTGTTTGGGCTCTTTGGTACCTGTTTCGAGTCGTGTTGTGACAGAGTGTGGTCGATGGTGGAGAAGTAAGTGTCCGAGGTGGCTGTTGGTGGTACAGGAGGTCGGAGTTACCTCAGGATAATGGAGTGAGGCTGTGCTTCTGACTTTGCGGACGTGACAGGACGACACACGCAGATGTGCTGCTGTCTGGACGCACGTCAGTGGGCAGTTCGTTTGCAAAGAGGTTCGTTGATTGGGCCCAGACGGGTCGGTGGGTACTGAATCTTTCGAGTGGTCGACGTCCATTTGTGGAAGAGAGCGGGCGTTCCTACCACTTTGACATCTGCCTGAGCTTTGATCGCGCGAGCTTTTTGGACTTTATTTTAGCGATCATAATAGAGCTGGCGCGGATCGGGGTTAATGCCAGGCGCACCTATCCACGCAGGATACAGCACGACCGTATCTTCCAAGTTGGTCGATCGTCGTCGTACATTTGTGGCTAAATTTCGCTTACCGTAATTGATTTAGAAAAGAGCTTGCTTGCCTCGATCAAATAAGTCGAGCGAAATTACCGGTATTACGACTGCCTCAGTTACAAAGCTCCAGCTTGACTTTGTAGGCGTCGCGATAAATTACGATCACCGGAAAAGATCACGAATAGACCGATCATCTTCTTTACCGCATCCATAAAGTGTATCTGTCTGACACAAATTGGTCCTTCACGCCCATCTTTAGGGCTAAGCAAATCGAATATTCGTCGAACATTGAGGGTTTTTCGAATAATTCGACTCGAACATTTGACAGCATCGAAAATTCGAGCCACTTATAATCTTTGAGTCGAATACTCGACTTAATTGATTATAGACAAATACATAAAATCAAACCGTTTGATAAAGTAGCCAGTTTATCTCAACAGATGAAAAGTAGCTTATTAATTTGGACCAATTCGAGAACCTATCATTATCATTAAAGCAGAATTGCTGACTGCATTAATATATGAGTTGTATATAGCCAATACAAAATCTCCATTTATAATGAATACCGTCCATGACGTGAACTTAAGCTCGACCGCCGCCGCAGCCGCAAGCTCGAGTGCTGCCATTGATCATTAAGCTCGACTGCCGCCGAAGCCCCCCTCAATGGCAATTCCGGATGAAGATGCTCAAGCTTTGGCCAGGTCAGAGTCAGCGACCTTGGAGATTAAAATGAAAGTCAATGATCACATTATAGTGGACAAAACCTGCTTAGCCAAGTGCATTCATTGCAAGAGAACGTACAGGGTGAACAAAACCACAAAAACGAATTTGACCAAGCACGTCCAAGACAAACATCCGACCAAGCTGGTGGTGCCTTTCCACCACTCGCAACGACGTCCAGCCGGTGAAGTGCCCCGAGTTCTGCAATTGCTTGGCATCAATATTCAAGATAAGTTTGAGGCGGCACTTTTGGAATTTCTTCTACTAATTATTCAGCCTTTTGCTGTGATCGAGAGTAGATGTTTAACGAAGTTGGAGAAGGTACTGAATATCCGCGTAAATATGTATTCAAGAACAACGTTAACCCGCCGTATCAAGGCCGCGTTTGAAAGAAAAAAAATAGCCGAATTTCTCACTAAACCTCAATCAAAGCTTTTTTTACAATGGATGTTTGGACATCGCCAGCTGGTATCCCATTCATGGCTATTACAGTGCATTTTATTGCCGACTGGAAACTCAAATCGCTGATGATCGATTTTGTGCACGTGCCTGGTTCACATACAGGAATGAACATGGCAGAGGTGGTCAAAAATTCATCAGACGATATGGGTCTTTTAGACAAGACCTGGGGGTTACCGTTGACAATGCCGGAAACAACGGAACGATGCTTAAGCAGCTACAGGATGACCCTGATGTGAAGCTGTCTCCAGACATACACTTTCGTTGCTTTGCGCATGAATTAAACTTAGCGGTATAGAACACCATTGAAATTTATGAAAGGCAGTATTACCGCCATTAGAGACACCGCCCATGCTACTCGATACCCGCCTCGCAAATTTTATTTAGCTGGAAGATTACTGCAAGGCAAATATAGATGGAAACGGCCAGAGTACTCCAATAAAGCTCTTTAAGCCCGTAATGGACGTTAAGACGCGTTAAAATTCAACGTACGACATGTTGAGTGGGCGTTAAAGTTACGCAAGCCATTAACCAAGCATATGCACGATCTAGCCGACGATGAAGAAGCACGAATGCAAAGACAACAACGACGCGCAGCTCGAGAATGGTATTACAGCACCAGAATATAAATTATTAAAGTTCAATCTGTCGGCCACAGAGTGGGACACTGTCAAGACTCTTCACGAATTTCTTTGGGCCTTCAAGAGCCCTACGGGAGTGACATGCGGGGACACGTACGTTACGCTATCTAAAGTGGTACCGCTCTATACCTAGCTATTGGATCATATTGATATATTTTTGGAGAATTCGACGATCACTAACAAGATGAAAGGAGCTATCAATAAATACAAGGAAACTCTTAAACGCTACTACGACATTACAAGCCATAGCTGCACAATGGCGACTCTGCTTGATCCACTATTTCGGCTTGGCTACTACTCTGTTCGGTATGATAAAGACCCTTATGAAAACGAACACCCAGAGGATATACGTCGGATCGCGCGACATATATACACCTTAGGCTATGAAACGAGCGGATTGGGTGCCGCCAACACAGAATTGAAGAGCTGTATCCCTAATGAGTTTGGGAGCCGAATGTTTAAGAAGCCAAGGACGGCCCTTGTGACACTAATTGATGAACTCGACATTTATTTGCGGGGCGCACAAGAAGGTCCTATGACACTACCACTTTTGTTATGGAAGTCACACGAAAAAACGTTTCCAAAATTGGCGAAAATGGCAATGGACTATCTGGCCATTCCTGGGACCTCGACATCATCGAAACGAGCTTTCTCCGCGGCAAGCAAGCCTGTTGGTTACTGACGAACCATGTCACTGTGGGCACGCACCATTCGCGCAAGTTGCTGCCTTAGGAATTGGCTTAAAAGGAAGGCATATAAGTAGTACGCTAAAAATCATTACATTGGTAGCAGCTTCAAAATTCGCTTATCATGGGGTTAGATCTTCTATATTAAAGCTATTTATCACTTATAAGACAAACGTAGAGTGGAAACCACCTCTGTCATCTATCATGACACGAACATTTTCTATCCACTTTTATCGTTCTGCTTGCTTGGTACTACATAAGTCAGGGAGGAAGCACTCAAAAGACCAAGTGATAATGACTATTAACCAAATTCGATATTCGGACTTTGTGCGCACTCTTGGCCGTATGGCTGGACTGTGCGTCGCGTCACGCTTGCATCCGCTTCAGGAGGTAGATGACGCATGGCTATGAGGCCTGATCCACTTCAGAAGTCCTAGCGTGCCATCTTGACGTAATCCCTGGACGCTTCCGTGGTGATTGATTTGCTCAGCTCTTCACGCCTATACCATTGCACAACTAGCGCAGAATTCCCTGGCGCACCACACGACGAATAATATCTTGGACTGGTGCTTGCTCTGCATTAACAACCTGTTCACACAGCGAACGGGTCGGCGCGAGGTGAGGCACTTCGTGCGTATAAACGAACATTGGCACGGGTCCATCAATCTCTGTCACATACCTTGTTTTGCGGTATACCAATGTGTTGCTTAACTTTCGGGTTGTACGATGCGTAGCCTCCCGTAGAACGCACAGAGAAGATAATATCTCTCAGGTGATCTTCATCTCTTACCGCTGTAGGTCGGAGAGCTCATATTGGTAAGTGACTGTCGCTTTTCGAACTAAAGTTCGACTAGACCACTCGAATATTCGACAATCGAATTATTCGATTGATTTAGAGGTCTCGAATATTCGATTTCAAATGTTCGATTTGCCCAGCCCTACCCATCCTACAGAATATGATCAGCAAGGTCAAATGGGCGAAGTTGACACCACTCAACCCGTGGACGACGACTGCCACGCCGACCTCCGACTCAGTGGAAGGTGCCGACGGTAGCCATAGAATACAGGCAACCTACAAGCCATTTATGTTCAATCCAGCAGTCTACACAGCGAAGGACATAAAAAATTTGCGTGTACTCTACCTACAGCCCGCGGTGTGCAACAGCAGGGGCCGACTTCGTGACGGCACGCATGACGAATGGCGCGTAATCAGCGGCCTAGCTGAAGGGGGTATTGTTTGCAGTCGTTTACCCGTTCTTTGATAACGTTCTGGATTCCAAGGAACCAGTCCGTCTGTACAGGACAATTCAGGCTCAAGTTGAAGGAGAAATCCTTTTACACCTGCGCATCGGACTCAACATCAGGATGTGTCGCCAGAATACGAGTGCGATCAAGGAGGACATTTCGATGGCAGCGGAGCGCTTGCGAGTGAACCAGGATGAGCTGCGGCGGCTACTTAATGTAGCCAAGACGGTCAGCTACAACCAGGTGAAACGCAGCATCCAATTTTACTTATTCGATCGGGCGACGGCACGTGAATTAGAGTCCATCGAAATTCCGTTGCGAAGCGCGGTTTATCGAATTTTCAACGTATATCTGCCAGCTCCGGGGTCCGTATGGGCCCAGTAAAAATGGTAGGGATGGACTTGGTGTTGCAGCAGCCAAGGAGTATACCGTGGAGCTACATAACGTCACCAGGTTTACGGATATCGGAAAGCTAACCGCGTATTTCCAGGCTCATGCTGCAGCGGATTTCGAACTGGAAGACTTATAAATTTGCACTCCTAACTCCCGGACATCTACGGTCTGGCGGCTAACAGTCCAATTCGCTGACTGTCCAGACTTCTTGCGTGGTGTGGTACGCATTATCTGGTTTAGGCGACCAATCATACTAAAGCACC